ATTTAAATTTAAACAAAAGAATATTAATCCCACAGCCATTTATGAAAGTGGTCGGTCTATACCCATTTATACACATGGGCAGTGAGGGACATTGTGAGGGTACTGTGTCCTACCCAAGAACACAACCATTATATGCACTAATCACTACAGCCACCAAATCTCGCACTTCACGATAAATTAATAATGTAATGCTAAAAATATGATATATAAATGTAGTTCAATAGGAGTGTGATAACAGCATGGCTGCCAAAACATTAGGTTTTTAAATATGTTATTCAATTTTTTAATAATGGATACAAACATAGTTTAAAAACCTCGCCAATAGTCTGGAGTGATCAAAATTTAAACTGAAATTTAATTGCCCACTGAGAAAGTGGATGTTTAAAAATTTTTTTGTGCCCTGCAATGGTATGGTTACTGTAATTTTGTTGACTGAAATCAATGTACAGTACTGTAGCTATATGTGCATGGACATAAAGATGAAACACCTGGTAACCAACAGAAACTAAACAATACAAAATTTCATTAAATATATTAACCCACCCTTTAACTGAAGTATGCAAAACACCACTCTAAAGCTAAACCCAGTAAAATTAAAATATTATACCATAAATACATTTATTATTGTAATATCCCACCACCCTAAGTAAGGTAAATAGGAATTCCATAACAAGGCACTTCTGTTACAAAGCTAAACTAAATGACAGAAAGGTCAATGACAGGGAAGATTTTAAATCTAAATAGAGTAAAGCCAAGGCAATTATGTAACTGTGGTTAACTGTTGTTCTGGTAAAATACTCCAACAAAAATAGATTAAACTGAAGACAATCTGTTCAATTGGTAATTGGTATTCACAAATATCAAATGAGAGAAGGGAAGTGAACTACACAACAAAACTGTTATTATTTCAAACTATATTAGCCTTTAAAGTTCATAGCCAAAGAATGTTAACATGTAAGTCTCCAAAACTGCCTAATTTAATAAGAGGCCTAGAGGTTCTGACCAGGTCACTGGTTATCAACATCATCACCCCAACAAGTTTTAGGCACATATACTGGGGTCTCAAGCCTGTAAATATCTACATTTATTTAACCTATATTTAAGAACTGGTGGTAAATAAAACATGCAACAGATAATAAATGCAATGTCAAACCAATTTTTGATAAAACAAATAAAATTTTTTAGTAAATTAAAAAATCATATTTCAATTTTAATGTTACTCAAAAACTGAGATCGACAGTATTTGCTCTTCATTTTGGAAATCATTTGATGGGGAGTTTATGGAGTAGCTCCACAAATGAAATGTTATAAACTTTAAGGTGCCGTATAAACATGTCGATGCACATGTACAAGGTATCAAAACAGAAATCAAGAATTGGCCATATGTTTGCTTCATTGCAGTGAGTTTTCTTTAAAGTCAATTTTTCTTCCCTGAAGCTTATGTAAGATCTGCTACATGTTTAAGCTCAAGCTTAATTTAAAAGGTGCAGTGGTTCAAGATGTTTTCTGTTTTCTAAATCTTGTATGTAGGCCACAATGAATACCGCCTCAATAAGCATTAGACAGTGGCAGCGATGAACAAGAAAATCACGTCTTCTCAGTTCTCTCCTTCGTTTGGAAGCCGCGACGGCGTTTTCATGTGAGAAGAGCAGAAGTAACAATAATAGAAAACCTCTGAGACTAGCTTGCGTCACTTTTCATTTTACGCTAGCTACAAGTAGTTAACAAAGTTCCTGAATTCACAATTCCTTATAGTATGTTGGAGGTTAATTATGAATATTCAAATCCGATTGTCAAGGGCTTTC